TTATCTCTGAGAGTGCTCCATTAGGCATGGGAACAAGTACTAAGCGCTTCGAGCACAAGGAACCTTTCACATATAATTTGTCCCTCGAAGAGACATGATTTCTCGATAACTACATCGCGCTGCACCTAAGCTTTCTCCGAATTCGACCTTGCCTGAATTCATCCCTAACTCACTTGACCAGAAATTGAGTATTGCACCAGAAAATAGCACCACAGCTACCTAGCTAGTTACTGAGTTTGCTTTTTTTAACCAGTATAAGCTGTTGTTATGGACAACCAACCAACAATAATCTTTGAATCCCTGAAGGAAAGCCTGCAATCAGCGCTACACGCCTTTGACTTCCGCCACAATATCTCAGGTTGTAAACGAATAAAAACGTTTTTCTGCGAAACACTATTCAATTTACCATTTGATTTTTATTATGTAATCGCTAAAAAGTTTGGCGAAACGATTGCTTCTGAACGACTTTTTCAACTCCCGACCAACTCATCTCAAACGTTGATGAACTACAATCGTTTTGACTGAAAAAAGTCGAGAGCTCGAGCGTTTTCGTGCTGCGCCAGGCTTTCCCCACCACTCATTGAATGTTCCGCAGCAACGATCGACGGAAACGAGGCTGGTGTCCGACGAAACCCACACGCCGTTGACACGCCCCGGCTGAAATCACTGATCTACGCAAGTGTGGTAGCCACGGTTAGATAAACTTATAGTCGCGTTAGCTATGGAGATTGGAAGGTGTCAGGGGGACTGGGTTCGGAGCCAGCTTGTTCTCCTTCAAGTGAGAAGGACAAAAGTTGGTGGGAAATGGGTTGGCGCCGCGCCAAACCCAGCTCCGCCGACCTGCCCCAGAATCCGCAGGGAACAAACTGAATGCATACTCCGTACTAAGGAGGCCCTTAACATTTGACATTTTGACAAGTAATGGATACTTAGAGATTCGTTGCCGGCAAAACTATTTCTCCAAAAAGGGCAGCAATTTTATAGCAAAGAAATCGGAGTTTTTTTTTGTTTATGGTACGCAACGCACAGTCGAAGAACTCTACGCAATAAAAAAAATCTACAAGTTTTGTAGCAGCTCTGCAGACACTGTAAACAACCGCTGCTTAGAAAATGTACGTGCCACGTATCATTCAAACAGTTTGCAGTCTACCTGCAACATTGAAAGGTTTGGCTTACGAAATTTAACAGGTTCCGATCCGCGTGACCCACATGGTGTGTCATACTCTTTCCCGTCTGCGCCGTTTCATACAGTCTTCTTAGCACGTTATTCATGCTCCGAAGTTATGAACACGTTTTTAGGCTTAGAATACAAATATCTCAGAAAGAAAAAAGGAGAGAAACAGATGAAATTGCCAGTTATCGGTCTGAAAAGTAACGAAATTATGCGGAGATCCTCGCAAAATGGAGGTACGGAATGTCTTAAAACAAGCTGGTCAGCTGAGCAGCCAGTTCAGCAAACCAGACTAAGCATTGAAACCGTTCAAAAGAATACTTTTGGACGCTAAAGCAGTACTTTTCGAAAGTAATTAGTGAAGGATAAACAGAGAAAAACGTGAAATAATTGAACATGCAAGTAGGCGAGTCCGTCTTTACTCCATCAAAAGAACGTCCAGTCAGCGTCGCAGAATGCGCCACCTGGGAGTCACACAGTCTCGTTCGCTACGGATGAAGAGAAGTGTCGTGTCATGGATTTGGCGCAGTGCCAAACCCGTTTTCCATCAGTTGTTAAAGCGAGCAAGCTACAAGACCGCATCATGTCGTTCGTATCAGTCGTTTTTCACCAAATGTTTTCGCTTACACGTTCAGCAACTGGTGGAGAACAGATTTGGCGCCGTGCCAAACCTATCCCGCTGCCTTCATCCGCCGCGAACAAGACTGTATGTGACCTGCTGCAGTCCTATGTGTAGATGTCAAAAGTGAAAAAAGTGGCACCATTTACAGAGGAAGGAAGACACTGCTGTCGCCTTTAAGCCTTGCCCGGAACATGCGAAAGTCAAACACTTTATTAAATTTCCATAATCCTGTTAAGGTAAACGTAATAGTAAAGCATATTCATATGGGAATGATGAAGTCGGCTGTGAGAAAGAAAAAACGGAAGATCCTCTCTGGTGTGGTGTCCTAGCAATTGGCAATGACGAGGGATTTCTGCCTAAAAGCCCCTTCGTCGCAGATATTCACAGGTAAGCGGCTGAGGCTTCGCACGTGAGCTCCGGGGAAATTTCGGACATATGCACAGTCGGGGTTTGGAAGTGGGGGAATAACGAGTATGAATTTCACTTTATCACCTAAAGGGGGGGGGGCAATAAAAAAGTCACTTTGTGCGAGTCACATATCAGCAATGTTTTCGCAGCCCAGACAGAGGACGTGGATACGAGTACCAGGGCGGAAGATAATGTTCCTTGATAAGCAGGAGCTGGCGCTTGCCCATCAACTTCATGTACACCAAAATATGGAGTCATCTCCAGTAGCAGTCTGACTGGAGAAGACCTTTGAAATTTACGTCAAATCCAAACAGCTGCGAAACTTCTGGTATGGAGTCATCCATGGATAGCTACCCGGAGACCCGTATTCTCGATCTGGAAGACCTCCAACATCGAACAGCTCCGACAACGCTACGGTCTAGGACATCATCTTCAATACAGTCGCCAAGGCACGGGTTGATGGTATGGGCCGAACGTACCTGATATGAAAAGACCTATATTTTCTTCGTAGACTCCGTACTGAAGGTGAGCGCTAGCGGTTACATCGAGCAACTCGAGTAGAATATCCTCCCAACATGTCGTCGCCCGTACCTTTTTGGAAACTTTGTACTGCTACAGCATTTGGTGCCACCAAATGGAATCGGAGGACGTGGAAAAACTCTCGCCTACTTGAAATGTAAGGACGTTGAGTACCTAAAGGAGATGGAATATCCAAGTAGCGTCACCTGAACTAAGCTTCCTCAATTACCAGGTTCGGGCGGAGTTCAACATGGTGGTCTACGGTGGCGGAGAACTAGACTATCTCGCTGATCTCAGGCACCACATCGCGGTCGCCTGCCAGAATCTCTCGATGGCGCTCGTCCAGAAGGCTGTGGCGCAGTGTCATAATAGTATTTAATATGCTCTTCAAGATGGTGATGGAAATGTTCGATCGAAAATTCAACAAGTGCAACTTATAGCCCCTCGAAAGTCAAGGAAGAAAAGTGACTTTTTTTTGTTGCCCCGTATACCTTGAAAAACATCCTGCTCAACAAAACCGGTTACTTGTAGTACGAACTACAAGCCCCAGCTGGTACTTCGTACTACTATACTGCAGGAGGCGAGGTATGGCCAAACAAGCCACGGCACGGGATTGCCAATCCACTATATTTTTGAATGGAGGTCGAAAGCGTGGCGAGTTCCACAACGGGACTGATAAATTCTGATTGGCTGAACTCTCAGCCAGAATTTTGGAGGGATTAGGAAGATTTTGAAATGATTCCGTACAATGGCAAGGGAAATTCCGCTCTTTCAATACTGGTGAAAACTCAAATTCCCGAAGTTTGTCAAATTCCCTATGAGTGAATTCATATCGAGTGAGAAGGTGAGAAATAACATGGAAATATAATTGGACTGTTCAGCAGAAAGTCAGTGAAAAGAACGTGATCAAGAAAATAAACGTAGCGTTAGCTTTAAGGTTCAATTAAGGAGTTGTCCCATAAGCATGAGCGTTTCTTTCTGATTAGAATTTTTTTGTCAAACATAAGAGGTTTCTAAGATGAATATCACATTATTTGACAGGGAACTTCACGCTCTACGAGATAACACGGTTATTTTCGTGCCATGATTTTCCCGTCGTTTGATGTGGACCTTCATGGGCGAGCTGACTAAGCAGATTCTCACTGAATAAACAGAGCGTATAGTGCAAGTCGCACTTCCGCTAGTTCATTTTGCTAGATCATGGTAGCTAACATGTCTCGCTTTTCGTGGGACCTCTAAACTCTTGTGAAGCCGCGAACTGGTACATGCGAGCAACATTTGTCACAGGTGTTTAGAGATTATTTTCACAGTGGTCTGCATGGGGTCGCTGAGTACCATATGGGCCCCTTCACCAAACCGAAGCGCGACAGTAAAAAATGAAAAAAATATTGACAAAAATTTCAAACAAAATCGCAGAGGTACTCAACTAATCGCGTTCGGCGAACAGCGAAATGGTTTTCTGGGGAAGAAATCAAGCTGCACACCCAATGATACCCTACGAACGGGTAATCACGCTCAGAAATGAAACTTGAGTTGCTAACTGGTTTGCTTAGAAGAAAGACCTGAACTCTCTCGGAATGAGCCCTAACTCCACAGTTGGTTTTAAATTATGTTTGTAGAAGAACAATGTGGGTCGCTCAGCTGCAGGAGAAGATTTCTAGTGAAATGGGACTTGTACTGCACTATCACGCCGTTTCTAGAGAGCGCATTTTCTTTTCCTATTATTAAACAGAAATTGGAGATCAGTGAAATCAATAGATAGAGAGCACTGCCTAGAGACGAACAGCCTCCGCAGCCTGTCCAAAAAATTTTTCTCATTATCTAGTCATGTGTTTGTGACATAGGGGCGAGAAGCAATGAATTAATATGGAAACTGAAACAAATAAAAAACACTCAACGAAATAAAATGTACTGCTCATAACTTTGTCTTGAATTTTCTAACCCCTTTGTGACGCTACCGCAAAGTACCCTATTTTCTGGGGTAAGGCACATTCATTGGCTAGATGGCAAAGACGCGTGCTACAACGCGCGCAAAAAGTTTCTAAGTAAGGCTGCTTTTCGCCTTTTTTCCATATTCTGACTTCCTTATTGTTTCTAAACACTTCCTGTTCAATATTGATCATCACATCGACGAAATCCCAAAAAAATCGCAGAATGAAAGCCAAAAAGTACTTGAGGCTAAAAAGCACGCCATGTTCACAAGTGCACCTTTACCCCAGAAAATAGGGAGAATATTCAATTATATAAGAAAATCATAAAAAACGAAAAGATATTGAATATTCATACCTCTTTACCAAGCGCTCGATGGCATGCAAGAAAGTACGCAGCTTTCGGATACTCCTCCATATTTGTGTAAACCGCTGCCAATGATGTATACGCTCTTGCCATTCCAGCGTAGTCTTTCAAGCTTCGAGCTAAGGAAAGATGTCGAAGATAATATCCAGCAGCTGAAACAAGTAAGTATGCAAGTGGTAGAGTTATTCACAAACAATAGCCCCCTGTTTATTTTTCTGCCAATAGTGATCGGGTAGTGATCGATTCAAAAATAACAATGGTGAAAACTTCCAAGGCTCATTCCATTTTTAGCACCTCCCCGACTGACCGCGATGATAAAAAGGATGAAGTCTTCGCCGTTGATCAATCGCTTTGTGGGATGCGGCACGCATTCCACTTCCATTCAAAATCGTAGGGGCTTGTTGAATGCGATGTAGCCTATACAATGACTTGCGGTGGCCAGCCGATGTACAAGTCAGTGTTTTATCCTCCCAGATGAATCTGGTACCAATTCACCGGCCCCGGAGGGTCGAAGGCTTGGTTGGCCTGGGCGGGAGTCGACCTGATTCGAACCCTGCGCCGAGCGAGTGGTAAGCGCGCCACTTGTCACTACACCACCTCCACCTCCCCCCGGTTAACTTTATTTTGTCCGGAAAACTCAACAAAGAAATAAATACCTGCTGGATAGTCCGGCTTCAACGATGATGCACTGGCCAAATAGAAGCAACATTGTGCTTCTCGCCCTTTGTTATTCTTTTCCACGGCTAGATTCAAGGCAGACCTGAGGTAATCATGCTGTGAACAAAATCGAGGTATGCGTCCTACATAGGCTTATTGGAGAGATACTCACTGATAGTATACGATGGCCTGATCAATCTCCGACAGCAGCACATGAGCATTGCCAAGATTTATGTAAGCCCGATGTTTAGCGTTGTGATCTCCAAATTGAGAGGCAACGGACAAACGCTGAAAAGTGACAAAGAATATTCCTTGGATATCCATTTCGGACGAGTCCCCGTAGGCATCTTACAAATCACCGCTACCGTAGATACGGCTGCATATGTGTACCCATGTACACATGCAGCATCACAGCAGCTTCATACAATACCTTCGCTTCATAATTTGCTTAGCAAATGAAAGAATACGAGCGTCAGGAACGGTCGTCCATTTGTGGGCGGGCGGGCGTTTGGTACGTAAAGTTGTGGCTTGATAGGGCTCTTATAAGAGCACTTTTCTCGGGGAAACCGCTATGCAGCGCCTGCCCAGGGTCGCGGAATTCTATCCTGCCAAAGTATTGATCCTAGCTGTCTTGGGGGATTTATCGTGCCAACTGCCTTCAAGGGAACTAAAGTCTAAGAGGAGTTTAGGTTGTGATTAACAGGATCATAAGCTAGAATAAAAGACTGCGTTCATGCTTTGCGCAAGCTCTAGGTGTACGACAGCGTTTTGAACGACTAGGAAAGCAAAGGTATCGATCCAGATTCGCCATCGTATAACTGCCCGCGATAAATTCGAAATTACCCGCGAAACGTTCAAAACGCGAGTGATCGCTCAAGACGCTAGATCAATACCTATACTTTCCTAGAAGCTCAAAACGCTGATGTACCTCGAAACACTCAAAACCCCTACACAAAATATGAATGCCGTCACAACCTATAGCGCGATCAAGACAAATGCGCATGAAGCTTCGAGCCTCACATTAATAAACAACAATCATCGATATCTCATCTTACGGTTCAAAAACCTTGGAAATCGTGCGTCAGTATGACAATTTACCCACCCCAGTAGACCTAACGTCAATCACCGCGTTCCGTAGGAATAATTAAAGTAAAATAAAATAACACAACAGCAGAAATTGTAGCAATACCTTTGTATGAGAATCTATGGCTCCCTTGTAATCGCCAAGTAAATGTAACACATTTCCCATGCAGCCATAAATCCGGCCAGTACTAAGATGATCCTCTAATTTCCTTGAGATACCCGCGCTTCGACTGAAAACCAGCGATGGTTCAGGAACAGAATACTGAGCAAATGCAGTAACGTGGAATAGTAAATGTCAGGAAGCGATGACCTACCAATAGTACTGAAAGGCTAGGTTTAAATCATCATGATAAGAGTATGAAGATCTGGAATTGTGAGACAAATCCGCATTTGCATTCGCGTCTTTCTGGAAAAAAAACTTTAGCCTTTTTCATGCTCGACGAAACCACCTCAAGGCTCAAAAAAAAGTCGAGACGTAAAGTGAGTATGATAGAGTAAATACCCCATTCGCACAGATATTCTTTCCAGTCAGCTTAGCTCTAGCATGATAAATGGTACCGAGGTTATACAGGGCTCGTGCCATGCACTTCTGTAACAGTATAGCATCACAAATATTCCAAGTAGTATCGTTCCAAAAACAAAAAAAGAATATGAATTACCTTATCATCTAATTGTTCAGAAAGTTCCAACTGACGTTCCGTAAACACAATAGCATCAAGGAAAGAATTTTGCATTTTTAATACGTTGCCTATATTTCCGCAAGCCTTTGCTTCACCCACTTCATCATTCATTAACCTAGAAGGTTCAGTAAAAGAAAATGGATCAAAAACTAACGTGAAAACGAAACTTACTTTGCTATCATCATATCATAACAGTGGTATGAAAAGGCCTTCTGCATTTCATTAGTAGAGTAATATGCATTTCCCAACTGACAATATATCGCAGATAAAGTTGAAAGGTCATTTGTACCATGTGTAAGAGCGTCCAAAAACAGTGGAATAGCTGAAAATGAATAATTTATAAAATAACTAGAAGTTAAGGCTGCTGGAGCAGGGCGGGGGCAATGGCTGCGATGGTACAGACACTTGCCGTGGTCCAAGGACTACCCAGTAAGGAAAGCATTGGACTTAGAAGTCCTAAACAAGCGATCACGAAGAACCCCGAAGAACAATGGAGGGTGTCATGAAGAAAGACCTCACTAAAGTGAGCGTTACAGCAAAAAATGCATCAGATCGGAATAAGTGGCGAGTACAGCAAGAAAAGTGGACCCTGCGACGGCGCGTAACTGAAGCTAGGGAGGAGAGGAAGAAGATACTTTGAGCCGCTACATTGGTTGGCGCAGTTTTGTCCTCAAAGTTAACGAAGGGCTGTCCGACCAAACCGAGGAGAAACACCCGAGATGTGCGGGGCGTGTTTGAGAGGGCGTGCTTCCCACGAAGGTCGGTAACTCGGTTCCCGAAATAGATCAGAGATTGCAGAAAAGTCCACGACGAAGATGAACATCTGGCAAGAGTCCAAGTAGCTTAAGCCCACAAGGGCGGTAATGCAGTTATCTAGCGTCCACAATTCATAAACATGATGTGCTCAGAGGGAGTCCTACAAATCTCAACACCCGATTCCATCAAACATTCCCACTTTAACTTCCTGTATCACTATCCCCTGGTTTACATCTCGATTCTTCGTACCATGCAGGAACAAACGCCACCCAGTTGAAGGAAAAAAGAAAAAGTAGCTCAAAATGAAGTTGTCTCAGGAAATACCCTTTTAAATTTTCATGTGCTGAAGTGTGACTATGCTAATTACACCAGCCCACGATCTGTTGCACCGATGCAGTACACCCATGATTAAATGGAGCAGCCTCAAAAGGGTTACTAGGACCTGTCCAGGTCACGTCCATCTTTGGGGAATTCGAGCAGGGGTCGTAGTTGTACGTTGGTTGGGAGGACATCTTATTTTACCTGGGACAATTTTTTAGATTGTTGATTTTTCCCATTTCGAGCGCGCCATCCTGGCTCGGCGGCAAAATTTTGGAAGTGTTATTAGGATGATAGACAGATGAAACGCAGTTGCAATTCCAAAAACTCTCCTACGCCAAGACGTGCCCTATTTATTTCGCACTTTAAAGCTTCAAAGTGACAAAAGTGGCACCATCTGTATTTTTTAAGTGGACGGGACTTCTGCGTAATGACTGATCGTAGACGGCTGCGCTTCTACTTTGTTGCAACACCTCCACCTTTCTCCAAATTTGGGCGGTGTTGTGGTCAGTTTAAAGGCGAGGGTCTCGGTTGTTGTGCAGTGACGGAGCGCTGCTCCTCAAACTGGGCAAAACTCTGCGATGGCTTCATAATGGATGATGGTCGTTAGGGACAAGAAATCAAAATTGCAATATTTCATCAGAAAGTACGTATAGTCCTCATCATTGAGGACCGAAGGGGCGTGTCAGTGCGGCTGCGTTTGGCGCGGTGCCAAAGTCGTTCTGCACCAGTTGCTGAAGCGGGCAAGTGACATTACTGTACTATATCCTTCGTATTACTCGTTTTCTACCACTTTTTGTCGCATACGCGTTTCAACAAAAAGGCTGAGAACGGCTTCAACAGTGTGCACACTCATACTGGCTGACACGCCCCACCGATCCGCAATGATGAGGACTGCAAGTACGCTAGAAAACAGCATATAGGATGAAATTTCAAATGTGATCTGATGCAGGCAAAAATACATGGAACACACATGCTTTTCAGCCATCCAGCAGTTATGGCGGCAAATACAGTAGCAAAAAAAAACCTGGAGCGAGCCAAAGCCGATCGCTTCCTAATACTGTCAGACTTTTTCAAAATGCACATAAAAACTTTACTTGCTCAGAAGGAAGCTGAGTTATGAGTTCGCGTGAGGTGCCAGTTCAAGTCCTGTGTGTCTGACCAAACGGGACTTGAACCGGCATCTCACGCTTTCCGGGCGAGTGCGCTATCCCTTAAGCCACCAGGGCCGCTCTTACCCTCTCAGTTTAACGGCTTTTATGCCGTAACCTACATGGTAGCATCATTGTATAATACGTCAAAAATTTGTTTGCTGGGGAACCATTTTATAATTGTAACTACAAAAATTGGCGACATTATGCAGGGCCACAGCTGTTACAATAACAAAAAAAATCACTAAAGAGTGCTTGCTTGGACACTTGGATGGGTTTCAGTTCACCCTTTTTGATTTTTTTTTGTTCTTTGGCAACATCCTATTTTGACCGGTGCTAATAGACGATTGTGAGTGAGGGAAGGAGAATTAGGCGAAGCCTAGGGGATGACCTTCGGAAGTAGGATGAGCCAAGTCTTTGGCGCAGAATGGTTAATGCAATACATGAGAATCGGTTCACCTAATCTAGACCTTCGTTGAGCCTGCCTTGACAGGGCAAGATCAAGGACAGGAACGGTGGAATTAAGGGGTAAAGTTTGTGCCCATTTTTTTTCGACCAACTATGCTGGCCGTTAGTGCTGCTCCGGTTTTCAGAGTTACAAACTAGATGTTGTCGCAAAAAAAGAGATAGTTGACGCAAAAAGGAATAGTCAGTGGGTCGAACAACAACATAAATCCACGTAAGTAAAAGGGAAATATAAATAAAAGAGAAACAGCTTACCGTCACGAAATTTTCCTTCACGACAGAAACGTTCGCCTTCTTTAGCTAATTCTAAACAGGTCCATGATCTTGATGCGATCTCGGCCTGCTGCATACCACCAGGAAGTGCGGTGGTGGGGATTTGAGCTGAAAAAAGGGTAGAATAACGAAAAAACTCAAGGTGACATTGGAGCTATTTCTCAGACCTATTTGTAGATACAGTATAACGAAGACCAAAAAATCATTTAAAGGAGGCTTGTGAGGAACGAACTAGTATGGGTTAACGGTACCGGACATATCAAAATCATGTGAAGGGATCGCCCAACATCATAGTCGTGGGTTAGATGAGACTTTACTCATTTTATTCAAGTCATAGTTCAAGAAAGAAACAAGTTTATCATGAAATAATCTCCGTGAATATCAATGACCATTCTCTATCAAGCGTGCAGGGAACGAATACCCTCGCAGCAGAAAATTAATTAAAAAGGAAGACAGAAAAAGCCACGGAGTTCTCAATTAGGCTATCCAGCACCATGCTTTTTTCTAGGGCTACATCCAAGGTGCGTCAATGCCACGGTGCCAAGGGGGAGTGAAGGGTGACCCTGGACGACATGACGTTCACTCCGCCAAGGTTATTCCTTAGTCACATGTAAAAATGAAGCCGACCTAATCGTTTTTCAAATATTTCCGCCTAAAAGCCACTTGTAAGCACTTTCAAGGAATTTTGCCCTCTGAGAAAGTAACGATGACGGCCCGCCCTGATCGACCAGACTTAACTAGCAGTTCATAAAAGAGATTCTGCAAGGGAACTGTTTTTTTTAAACAGAATCCTTTCCATGTTAAACGGGCAGTAATCTAATAGGTCTGAGAAAGAGTTCATATTAATTGAACGTCAACATACCAAGCAACTGTAGCGACTGAACACGAACAACAAAAATAATTTGGGTCAAAGTAGTTGCAAAAAATTACTGCCTATCAACCAGAAACAAATGCTACCAAGAGAGAAACGAGAAATTCAACGTTATAGGAACAACTTAACCTAGCTGAGCCAAAGTGCTTAACAATGTGAAAAAAAAACACAGTGAACAACCCAACCAACGAGGCGTGTGTTGACCATGGACATTGGCGCGGCGCCAGATCGTTTTTGAACAGTCGTTGCCCGATGGAGCAAGCAGTGATTGGTGGAAAATGAGATGGCGCCGCTCCGAATCTCATGTCACCTGACACGCCCGTCGATTCGATCGTTGAGGGATATGAGGAACTTTCATGCCTTGAAAAACATCATCGAAATGGTATTTTTTTTCCCGCAGCGGTGAATTCTTAATATTCTTTGGCAAAAAGGTTGCATGTGCTGCCACCGCCTGAAAATTCCACGCTAATCTGAAGGCTCACCGCTCTCCTTCCAGTGTCTTAACAAGCTTCGGTCTTCGAAGATAGTACACGGCTTTTAACAAACCTTATGTTTGAACCTCTTTATAACTAACCTCTTTTTTATGCCGCTTGCTAAGAAAGGAAGTTCTGTAGGCTTCAAAACTCTGGCCCGTCACAGTGAGACAGAGTAGTAGTCAAGAGGGAAATCGGTTTTTCCATACTAATCAATCCTAACGTTCCTGTGAACTGAACAGCATCGAAACACGCGAGGACCACCTCGTCAGGCTATTACTTTTTAGCCGCGCATGATCTTTACCTGGAATGCGAGACGAGGTCCATTCGTCTCTCACACTGCCCACAAAAAGACGGATGTGTGCTGGAGAGGGTATAAAGAGATCAAAAAGCGAGTAAGGAGCCCACATTTCAAAGTTTGATTCTCTGACAGAACAGGACGACAGAAAGAATGTACTCTAGTTCACCGCGGACGGTTGGGCGTGTCAGGCAGTATGAGTGTGTCACGCCGTCAAAACCGCTCTCTGCTTTATTGTTGAAGCGCGCATGTGACAACCAGTAATAGAAAACGAGTAATACGAACGATATGATACAACCCAGTCTTTCGCCCGCTCTGACAACTACTGGAGAACGGGTTCGGCACCGCGCCAAACTCATCCCGCCTGACACGCCCAACCGTCCTCAGCGAACTACACTGTAGCAGCTTCTGGTTACGTACTTGGACTTCATGTGGACCACGCCCTTGAGTACAGGGAAACAGGACAAAAAAAAACTGTGTGGCTCTGTCATGATCTGGATATTCATTCCTCCTGAAGACAAACTGCACATTGACCTTCGACGGTGGTCCTTGCCACGTGCGAGAAGAAAGGTTTAGCAGCTGCACAACTGTAACACTTCCGTTACTTGAGAACACGCGGAAATGAGGCTTCGGGATAGTGATTCCGGGTACGTGACATCTTGAAGTTTTGGGCACGGTCCAATGGTGAAACCATGTAACAAAGAGAAATAAAGTACAGCGGCTTTGAAAGCACTGAAATGTGCAAGAAATGGGGGCCGAACCTGGGCAGAGACATTCCAAGTGAAGTGGACTCCAGGGTTGGCGAGCC